ACCCTTTTATGGTGGATTTTAATTTCAGGGTTTTATGATGGATCCTTGCCCGAATCAAAAACTCGATTAAGAGTGAAAGAGTATGATGAGGTGAGATAGAGTGTGGATGGTGTGGTGGCACTGGTGTGGTGGCACTGGTGTTTTCTCCATGATTTAAGGATCTCTGAGGTATACAAGGGAAGAAACACACAAAAGGTGACCTTCTAAAGCCCGCATCTGCAATGTATGGTTTTTGATGAAAGACAGGTCAAGTATGGTGGGTAATTTCTTTGTATACTTGTCGACTCATGAAGAGACAGGTGTGGGTCGGACTCACCTGTCGACCGGTTGTGTCTCCGTCAGGTTTGTGGATGAAGGTGTCGACCGGTTGTGTCTCCGTCAGGTTTGTGGATGGAGGTCGCTTTTTCTGGAGAAGAAGGTTAGGGTAGGGAGGTGCAAGATGTATATAATGAGGATGATTGTTGTTTATTCAGGTTTTGTTTGTATGGAGAGAGAGAGAGAGAGAGAGAGAAAGAGAGAGAGAGAGAGAGACTATACCTAGACTTTGGAGAGAGAGGGGAGGGGGGCTCTTTTATTTTCTAATTATAAACTTAAGTAAATAAAACCATCGTAAAACCACCGCCACCGGTCAGCAATGCCGCCACCGATCAACCCCTAGAAGCATCAGCGGTTACCACCACCACCGGTCAATACCTCTCTCTCTCTCTCCATCACTTGCCAGAAAAATATGAATAACCACCACTTCCACATGTCGGAAACCACCGCCACCATCTCTCTCTCTCTCTCTCTCTCTCTCTCTCTCTCTCTCTCTCCTGATGAAACCACTCTCTTCTCCAGATGAATACATAGACAAAATTCAGAAATTTATCATATAACAACACATACAAAACATAGAGATTTTGTAGCACCAAACACATACATCTGTTCAAAGATTTGATACACAAAACAAGAAATCTGATATATACAAGAACACACATGAACCAGCTAGGGTTTCGAAAAACTTGAAGGGTGGCGCTGTCGCCGGTACCTCAACCTGCTCTGAAGCTCCAGATCTGCAACATCTCTTCAACGCCGCCAGCGACTCCGTCGACGACGACATCATCATCATCTGGTGTCACCTTCTCTTCAGATCTGGAAAGACGATGGAGATTTGTTCAAACTCATCGCTCCAATCGGTCGTTTAGGGTCTCCCTACCTCGCCATATCGTTCGTCATGGTTTAGATTTGACGGCGGCTAGGGTTAGGGTTCCCAAACGGTGGTGGAGGCTTTCAGATATGAGGGTTTTCCTGTTGGAGGTTGGTGGAGGCTTTTAGATCTGAGGTTTAATCCAAACCTCTAATTTTTTGGTTCCGTTGTCTTTTTGAGCTAGTTTCGTTGCGGATTTGGTCCCTCAATAAACTGAAATGACTTTAATACCCTTAGGGTATTTATTTTCTATTTTTTTTTTCAGTTTTTAATGTTTAATACTTATTTATTCATTTTAATAATTAAAAAAATAAAAGGGCCTCTCTCTCTGCATGTGTTCTCTCTCTCTCTCTCTGTATGTGTTTATGATATCTGAAAATGAAAATTCAAGAACACATAGATCAGGGTCGATTTCTCTCTTCTCCCTCTAATTTTTGCAGGTCCAAATGAGTTTCAAGAACATCATATTCAGATTTGGGTTCAAGCACATATCATGTTTAGATCTGGGTTCAATAACAAACCCTTAAAACAGATTTGGAAACAAGTTTTTCGAAATGAGCTTTAAGAACAAACATTAAGTTGTTTCACATGCTTCCCACGAACTTGAATCCCCAAATCAAAACCAAAAATTGAAGTGGAATCAGGCGCATGAGGTTACACGAGGTGAAGAACAGGGGTTCCCAGCTGATGTTCAAAACCATGGCTTCCATCAAATCACCCTCCCCGGCTTCAGATCTGTTAAGATCTTGAAGACAAAACGGATTCGACGGAGGTCTCTATCTCCTCTCAACACCACTTATGGCAGCTCAAACGTTTTTTCAGATCTGCCGCCGTTTAGTGTTTCTTCCGCTTCTATCTTCTTCTCCGGCGATGTTGTTCCAGCTCCGAAACAAGGGTTTGCAAGCTCAAAAAAGAAGGACGACTCCACCCCCTTTCCTCTCACCTGCAGATCGACTTCGATCCTCCGCTGCAAACCCTAGCAACTAGAAACCACCACCGCTCCGATCTACAACTCGACGAAGACGATGGTTAAGCTGCTGCAAACCGGAGCTTCGTCTTTACTGATATGAAACTCGTTCTTCCCTTTGCTTAAACTTGTTCTTCATGTTGCTTTCATGGAGGTCAAAAAGGTCTTTGAAATTTTTAGAGGAACATATATGGTGGAGTTGAAATGGTGGAAAAGGGTTTGGTTTCGTCTGGTCTCGAGAGGAGATGGTCGGAGGTGAGGGGGTAGTGGTGGTCGGAGGTGAGGGGGTAGTGGTGGTCGGAGGTGAGGGGCTGATCTTGAGGGACGTTGAAGTCCAAAATACCAAGAGAGAGAGAGAGGCCCCTATCATTTTTTTTAATTATTAAAATGAATAAATAAGTATTAAACATTAAATTTTTGAAAGAAATATAGAAAATAAATACGAAAAAATGATTAAAATGAATAAATAAGTATTAAACATTAAATTTTTGAAAGAAATATAGAAAATAAATACCCTAAGGGTATTAAAGTCATTTCAGTTTACTGAGGGACCAAATCCGCAACGAAAGTAGCTCAAAAGGACCACGAAGCCAAAAAAGTCGAAGTTTGGATTAAATTTCAGAAAAAATGCATACCATAGGGACCATTTTTGCAGTTTTGTCTATATACGTAACCTTTTTTTATTTTTTTAATTATTTAAATAAATAAATAAGTATTAGATTTAAAAAAAATAGAAAATAAATACCTCAAGAATATTACAGTCATTTCAGTTTTTCGAAGGACCAAATTCGCAACGAAACCAGTTGAAAAGGACCATGAAGCCAAAAAGGTCGGGGTTTGGACCAAAACCCGAAAAAAATACATACCATAGGAATCATTTTTGAATTTTTGTCTATATATTTTGTTTCAAATAACGTTTAACAAAACATGACTATGCTTTTTAAAATCAATTTTCATAATTGCCCTTAAAAATATATTTATATATTTATTTTTTTTAAAACAATTGTTATTTTTATGTAATTTTACATATTTCAAAAGTTTCCAGCTACTTTTGTCAAACACTCATATAACAAATAAAAGCTACAGATTCCAATTATCAGCTACATGTTATCCGCTACCAGCTATTCGCTTCCAGATAACAATGATTTTTGCCAAACACGCCCAATAATTGTTAAAAATATACTTATATTTAATCGTATAAGATAATTACCAAATGTAAGGATATAATTTATTTATTTAGAGGGTATTTAAGTCAAAATTTTAAAATCTAAAAGAGTTTTTTTTGTTAAATGCTAACAAAAATGATGTTATCTTTTGAATTACCGAATGGACATCATGAATGACTAAATTTTCATTTTACTCTCGTTCAGAAGTGACAGGACCATATACAAATTTTACCATCGAAACATATTCACCACAAAGAATTAAAGAATTTTAACAAGACAACATGAAACAATTTTATCAAGAATGTTTCCAACAATTTTGACTGTTACCATCGTCTTATCTATCATTCACGATTCCAATTAGAAAGGATCACCATAAAATTTTTTACAACAAAAGAAAATGTATTCACTACCAAAGATGAAATATATATATTTTTTTCATTAATGGCCCCATTGGCCATTTCCTTTAAGTGTGATTTTAATTACATATTTTAACCATTAAGACACTCTACACTAAATTATGAACATGATTACTTCATTATTACCATCATTCCTAGGAAGGCAAAAACTACCCCAAACTCCATTGAAAAATCTCGAGTAACACATGAAGATCCAGTTTTATTCATTACCCATCTATTTCCCCGGTTATTTCCCACAGCAATACATCATTTCAAAGAACAATTTATATAAGCCAACATTAATTACGAATTTTACAAGTATGGTGCTCAAGAATTTTACAACTTCAATGGATGAGTTGATTTCCCCCCACTCTAACTAAGTATGTTGTTGTACAACTATGAGAGAGTAAGTTGTCCAAACAAATTCTTCTAATTTGCTCCTAAAACCCTAGCCACTTTTTATGTGTGTAATAGCTTTAATCTGAGATAATGTATCTACGTATGAAAATGGTTTCAATGAACACCACGTGATGTGATGTGGCCTCTATTTATAGGAGAGATTAGCTAGTGATATGAGGTGTTGAAACCACGTTGTGTTTTCAATTGACTTATAAAAGAAAGCATTGCTAAATAATTTTACTTTACTTACTGGTAATCTCTATACCAAATTAACTGCTAACAAGTATGTGGCTGGCTACCTGTTTTGATATGAGTATTTTATCAGTTTTTGCACAGTTTTCCTTTTATTTTTATAAAATAGGTGTTTAGAGTGTAGAACAAAAAAAAAGTCTCTTAAAAACACTCCTTGGTAAATGGTACTTCAACGTGAGATTTAGAAGGAAACTGTCAATTAGAGGGGAGTTTTCCGATTTAATTGATGACTATGTTATCTGTTAGAACAAATTGCAAGAACATGTTAATTGATCTCCAACCTGTTTTTTTGAACCGATATAAGATCAAATTAATCTGGTCTTTAAGCCGCCTCTAACACAAACCAAAATTCAATACTTGCATGAATGTCGATCCTAGCAAAATATGGTCAATTTTGACACAAAAATCAACCTAACAAAACTGACTTCGTCCACCACTAATTTTATTCTATCTATAGAATTGTCAGCAAAATGTCCAGATTTGACCTACTTTCTCATGGCAAGCCTTTCAATAATTGCAACTTGAACACTTGTTCCCTGTCTTCTTCTCTAGATCTACAGAAATCCAACTGTTTTTTTTTTTTACTAATCGCACCACAGATTTAGGTAAAACATTGAACACATCATCTTTTAATTGATTGGTTGAACCTACACCTTCTTTTCACTTGTATCATTGTCTTTATCTTGGTCAATCTAGTATTGTGGTGTTCATAAAAACAAAAAGAGAAAAAGAAAGAAAACACTTTATACGAATTGGGTTTCGGAATTTTTAAGAATAGTGTTCATGGAAAAAGAGGCAGATGGTGATGAGGTGGTAGTAGAGATTACAGCTGCTGAAGCGAAGTCGAAAAATGGGGAACTTGAGGGCATTGAGCCACCACCTGTTTCTGTTTCTACTATTATTCAGCCTCTTCAAATTCAATCGAATCAAGATCAGAATCTTATATCATCAATAGCACAATCCCCCTACCCAAAGCCAAAATCAAGACTCGTTGAGCCACCATTTCCAACCAATCGGAATATCGCAAATGAGAAAATAACTCCAACTGCTTCCCCTTCTTCTCAAAAACCAAAAACCCCAAAAACGTCGACTCCAATAACACCTAAAACACCATTAATCGCATCACCACAAGAACAAGAAGTCGACGATGACGACGATGATGCGTATTTCACCAAAGTTCTTCAATCCAAGAAAAAAAAACGACCCAAGAAAATGAAGGTTTTGGTTTCAATCGAGTTCACTTTATTCGTTTGCGTAACGATAATTTTAGTTTTAAGTAGAACTGTGGATAAACTAAAGAATTCCGAGATTTGGAGTTCAGGATTATGGAAATGGTGTGTTTTGGTAATGGCGATTTTCTGTGGTCGTTTATTTTCCGAGTGGTTTACGAATGGTGTGGTTTTCTTAATAGAACGTGAATTCTTACTTAAAAAGAAAGTTTTATACTTTGTTTACAGCTTACAAAAGAGTGTTCGGGTTTTCATCTGGTTAGGTTTGATTCTACTAACATGGGGTTTGCTAATTAATCGAGGTGTTCATAGATCAAGAAACACAACCAAAGTTCTAAATTATATCACTAGAGGGATTGCTTCTACACTTGTGGGTTCTGGTGCATGGATCTTAAAGACTCTTTTTGTAAAATTCTTAGCTTCGAAATTTCATGTGAAGATATTTTTTGATAGGATTCAAGAATCTATCTTCCATCAATATGTTCTTCAGACGCTTTCAGGGCCTCCATTGATGGATGATTTTGAAATGAGTTTTAAAAATTCTACAGAAAGGGTAGTAGAAGAAAAGAAGGAGGAAAAGGTTCTTGATGTGAAAAAGCTGAATAAAATGAAACGTAGGAAGGTGTCTGCTTGGACAATGAAAGGGTTGATTAAAGTTATAAGGAAATCGGGATTCTCTACACTTTCTAATGCACTTGAGGAAAGTGAAGATGTTGTGGGAAAAGATGAACAAAAGGATGATGGGAAAATTACTTGTGAGTGGGAAGCTGTCAATGCTGGTTATGCTATTTTTGCAAATGTAGCTCCACATGGGGAGAAGTAAGATTAGTCTTGAATCTTAATTCTTAATTCTTAATTCTTAATCCTGTTTCTTGATGAATGTTATGTTTAATTGTTGTTATATAAATTAGGTACATCAAAGAGGAGGATCTTTTGCGTTTTATGAACAACGATGATGTGAAGAAAGTGCTTCCATTGTTTGAAGGAGCAGCGGAAACTGGAAAGATCAAGAAGAAATCGTTTAGTTTTTGGGTGGTAATTAGTAATTACTCAGTTTCAACTTTTCACCATTAATTTGAAGGATAATTACAAAAATGACCAAATTGGGTGATCCTATTCAACAAATTGACTGACTTTTTGACCTTTTAACAAAATGAACGCCTTTTTCACAATGGGTCAATTGCGAAAGTATTTTTATTGATGGTCATTTTGTATCTTGATTTGTTAGGTGAACGTGTATAAGGAGCGAAAATTTCTGGCACTTTCTCTAAAGGACACAAAAACAGCCATAGAGGAGCTAAACAAGCTTGTTTCAGGGTTTACAGTATTTGTACTTATAATAGTATGGTTACTTTTAATGGGTATTGCTTCAACCGAAGTGTTGCTTTTCATCTCATCCCAGCTTTTACTTGGGATTTTCATGTTTGGGAACTCTGCTAAGACAGCATTCGAAGCCATAATATTTGTGTTTGTGATGCACCCATTTGATGTAGGTGATCGTTGTGTTATTGATGGTGTTCAGGTAACTAAATCACTTGCCCTAATCTAGTTGCAAGAATTTGGTCTTAAAAAGGATTCAAATGTTTATGTAAACAACTAAACATGTAGGTCGTTGTAGAAGAAGTAAACATTTTGACAACTGTGTTCTTGAGATATGACAATGAGAAGATTTTCTACCCGAATTCAATCTTGGCTACAAAAGCCATAAGCAATTTCAATCGAAGCCCAGAAATGAGTGATTCTGTGGAGTTTGATGTTGATGTTTCCACTTCAATCGAGAACATCTTAGCTCTAAAAGCTAAAATTAAAACGTATGTCATACTCTACTTCTCTATCTCTTGTATTAGGGTAATGTAATCTATCGAATTTTGCTTTTTCTACATCAACACACAAAGAATTGTTGCAACTACGTATTCAGGACTAGATAATGTATGTAGGAGACAAGGAATGAAGGTAGATGTTTTGGGGATTGACAATGAGGGAAGAATTTCAGATCTAACTTATCAATTGCAGACCTAATCGATGGTGTGTGTTCTGTGAACTAAATTTTATTGAAATTTATTCAGACTCTTAAGGCCAAAACTATTTAAAAATCAATAGCTGTTCTCTCGTACAATTACAGTACGATCCATTGGTTAGGGTTTGATTTATGTCTAATGTTGACGTGAATTTGTGATTTAATTTCTCAGGTACATAGATAGCAAACCCCGACTATGGCGCCCAAAGCACAGTGTTAGGGTTAGGGAGATCGAGGATGTGAACAAGATGAAAATGAGCCTCTACGTAACTCATACGATTAACTTTCAGAACCACGAAGAGAAAAGCGAAAGAAGATCAAACCTTGTGCTGGAGCTGAAGAACATCTTCGAAGAACTTGGCATCAAGTATCATCTTCTTCCTCAAGAAGTTCTGATTAGATATGTCGGCTCTGCATCGCCACCAGCCACCACCGCCACACGGTTGTCGTGATCGAATCCTGGGTAAAATTTGCATCAGGTTCGGTCGTTCCTTTGCCTTCGTTGTTCATCCTTTGATTTAAAATGTAACCGCCATTGCCATTGGTATTCTGGAGCTAAAGCTAACTAACGAGATCGAACCTTGACGTGAAGAGTTTCTTTGAATTGTACAGAACATGCTAATATATTTGCATGAGTAGATAAAGTTTGCAATTCATACAACATAATTTCTTTTTACAATTTAATGCATTATAATAATTATTTTTTGATATTGTATGTAAAATGGTAAGAGTATTTTTTTTTTTTTTTTTGAGATAGGCATCTTAAGCATTTCTTGCACGAATAATTTGAAAATAGTTAAACAAAATAGGTTTTCATATTCAAAAATCAAAATAATTTAAGTTTAGTAATTTATGGAAAATTACAGACCCAAACATCATAAAACATCATACTTCATAAGGCTATCCGGTATGGATACACGTGAAGACATAACCACCTTATCATAACTCTCCTCAACCAACACTATTACAGCCCAAGGGGCGGTGTTCATGCATAGAGATAGGAGATACAGAGAAGAATAGAGAAGAAGAACAAGGGAGAAACGTCTGTGAAGACTCGTGAAGCCACCCAATCAACAAGTCAACTACGAAAAAATAAGATGTTGTTCACGCATGAATTAGCCATTTCACGTCAGATTCTACGCCTAGAATCATCTCCATACCGGAATGCCTAAACATTTGAGGAAGTGTCCACAACTAATTCTATCACATATGTAAAAGTGTCATTACAATATACATCCTCTTAAAAGTCTCATCAAATCTACTAGCCTTCACAACTTTATTTACTCTTGATATACATCAAAAATAGTAAGATAGGCTCAATATATAGTAAACTTCGTACACTTATTGCCAAATGAGCCCCCCATAGTATATGTAACGCCCCGACTCTCAGGTATAAATTTTCAGTCTTATATTTCCAATTCTAAAAGTCGACTCGACGATTTGGATGCCCCGACTCGTCGAGTAGGCACGGTTCTGGTCGCGGGTTTTAAGTGACCAACTCGGCGATTCGGAGGACGGACTCGGCGAGTTGGAGCTGGAATGAGAAACCCTAATCCCCGGGGTTTTTGCACCCTATTTAAAGGATCCTTTGCCCCCTTAGCCTCCCCTTACAACCCTTGTGAGTCCAAAAACCCTAAATCGTCGTTTTCTCTCAATACTTGTGTGTTTAAGCTTGGAAGGTGGATCTTGGTGAGAGAGGCTTGAAGATCAAGAAGCCTTGAGCAAGGAACAGTTGGGGATCTGAAGTCTACCTCAGTTTAGCATCATTTGAAGGTATCAAGTCGTTACCTTGATCTCCTTCTAGCTAAATCCTTCTATATTTGAGTTTTGGGGTCATTTTAGCATATTGGTGTTTCATTTCGGGTGATGAACCAAGATCTGAAGTTGCAACTTCAGATCTAGGCTCATTTTGGTCCTTATAATCATAAAGTTACAACCTTTAGCATGATAGTGCATTTCCCTTGCCTAGAATCTCTTCTTTAGCTTGATTTGGGTCATTATCACCTTGCATATACGTAAAGTTTGCAACTTTACGTAAGAAGTATGCCTTAGGAGCTTAGATCTACATTCTAGAGCCTTGGAATGGCTTCAAAAGCATCTGTATGGAGAAAGGACTGACGGGACACGACGAGTTGCATGGTCGACTCGGCGAGTCCGATGAAGATTGGCCTTGAAGGTTTCTACATGGACTCGGCGAGTCAGTAAGGTGACTCGATGAGACAGTTAGGGTTTCCTCGACTTCAGATTACGCATAGACTCGACGAGTTGGTGGTAAACTCGGCGAGTCAGTGAGGGTTTTATAACCTTCTGAACCCTTAAGGAATTCGATGAGTTGCTAGTTGCACTCGACGAGTTGGGTCAACATGGACTGTTGACTTTGACTTCGACCAAGGGCTGACCAGTTTGACCTCTGGGGTATTTTGGTAATTTGGAAATTTATGGAAATGGTCTTATGGTAAATATAGGTGGTGGAGTTCGTGGCCGTGGTTCGAGAGTTTGAGTTTATCGCTTCGATTCGTCAGTTGAGGGGTGAGTTAGCCTCACTATACTAATGGGTCTAAGGCACCAAGGCCGGCCCATTGGCTTTGATATCCCACTAGTTGATTACGTGTTGAGTATGAGATGATTATGCATGCTAGTTTGTTATGCCAGTTAGGTAGATCTGTAGGACTACCTGTTTTACTGTATGATTATCCGTATGTGTAATTAGCTGTATATGTAGACATGTTGTGTGGGTAGGGTTGAGGTTGCATTGTCTCGTGTAGTGACCAACAAACCCTGGAGTATGCCAGATATGAGCTGAGGGCCTGGAAGGCATACCAGACTCATACTGAGGACTCATTAGCATACCAGATACGAGCTGAGGACCAAGTGATATGCCAGACTCGTACTGAGGGCAAGTCAGAGATGTTTCGGTCGTAGGACTGCAGGGGGCAAGCCAGTCATAAGATGTGGGCTCGAAAGCAAACCAGACTTATGTTGTGGGCTCGGAGGCAAGCCAGTTGTGAGTTGTGGGCCCGGAAGGCAAGCCAGACTCACACTGTGGGCCCAAGGGGTAATCCAGTCTGCAGAGCTGTGGACCCATTACATGTTGTTATTATGTGTATTGTTTGTTATGTACCGGTATTTTGGGGGAACTCACTAAGCTTCGGGCTTATAGTTTCAATTTTGTTTTCAGGTACCTCAGATGATCGCGGGAAGGCAAAGGCGCGATCGTACAGCTCCTCACATTTTATGACTATGTTTCTGGGATACTCTGATATGGAACTATTTTGAAAACAAATTTGTAATAACTATTGGTTTTTAAATGTTTTAAAAAGTTTAAATTTGGCTTGATTTTTTTTATGACTGTTACAAGTTGGTATCAGAGCTTTGATTTGAGTGAATTGGAGGAACACTCGTGTGAATCCAGTCTCAAATCAAGGAAAGGATTTTCAAATTTATTTTTAAATGATTTTCATAATACTAAAGGAGGATGCAGAGTGTACGATCAGCCGGAACCAGTAAGTAAACCCCAAAATGCCATGCTGTTGTTTGATTATGTGATATGTTAGTACAACATGCTAGTGCTAGGCTAGGGATCTTCAAGAATTGCTTAATAGAATTGTCTGATTGTATGATGTCTGGTAGCCTAGGGTTTTCACTATATGAAATTGACATCATTACTGTAGTTGCTTAGTGTATGCATCACGGTCGTACATAATTAAGATCTTATAGCCTGAGAATGTTTGGTTTGGCCTTATTTCCTGTTCTTGTTTGATGAAGGGCTTAGGGTAGGATCAAGTATTCGAAAGTCTATAGGGACCAGCGTTATGTATGACTAGCATACACTAGTGCTGCAGGGTTGGTGGAAGTTTCATGGATGGTTGAGACGTGCGAGGTCAGTAGACCAGTTATGAGACAGTTAGCTTCCCTATAGGGGAGAGGATTGAGCGATCACCATGCATATGTATATTGTTAGGGTGTTGTGATGATACTTGAGACAAACATGGGTAGGTGTGCAAGGTAGTATGGGCCCGTACTACTGAAAGCACAGAACCCATACGCATAGCAAGGAAGTCACAATCCCTAGGGTTTAGTTGGGAGTTGGTTCCCTGTTATTTATGCGGATTATCTGATATCTTCCTGGTATATTTTCAGTATGGTGGTTACGAGACGTTTTGTGACTGGATCCGGATCGGGATCAGGGCAGGATGATCAGGGTGCTCCGACAGAGCCCAAGGTTATCGGCCAGGGTGGGCTAGCGTTGAGAGAGGATCATGTCAGGGAGATCATCCGCGAGGAGGTGGTCGGGATTGTCCGGGGTCAGATGCTGGAGATGTTTCGGTCTATTAACACTGCTATGATGGAGTATTTTGACGACAGATATGCAGCCCTAGCTGAGACGGCTGCCGCAGCAGCTACAGTGGCTGTAACAGCGGCAGGGGGAAGAGCTGGCAGAGCTTTTCAGTACCGGGACTTCGATAACACGAAGCCCCCGACATTTGATGGTACTCAGGATCCAATCAGAGCCATGATGTGGCTGTCTGGCGTGGAGGGTTGTTTCTTCACGTGATCATGTCCTACTGACCAGAAGGTCAGATGTGCCCTGAACCTGCTGAGGTCCGGGGCAAAGGACTGGTGGAGACTGATAACGGGGTCTTATTCGGATGATCAGAGAGCTGCTGTTACTTGGGAGCAGTTCAGGGATATGTTCCGCGCTCGCTATATTCCACGGGTTGAGCGGGAGCGTCTAGCTCAGGAATTTTTGGAGTTGAGGCAGGAGGGTGAGACCGTGATCACTCGTATGTTCACGAAGAGGGCGATGTTTTGCCCGGAGTTTGCTTCCGAGTAGGCTTAGATGACACATTATCTGAGCATGCTCAAGACTGATATCCGACAGTTTGTTGCTACCCAGCGATGTGACACTTTGCTGGATTTATAGGAAGCCGCCAGGCGGCGTGAGCTGGAGATCGAGTTACAGTTACGAGAGCAGAGGCGGGCCCCGGCGCAGTCACAGCCTGCGCCGGAGCGGTCCAAGACCGATGATACTAGGACCGGAGGTCAGCATGGCCGCACTTGTGGAAAGTGCGGAAATGGTCATTCTGGAGTTTGTCAATCAGGTAGCGGGTGCCACAAGTGTGGCAAGGAGGGGCATTATGTGAAGGATTGTCGCTAGCCCGCCCCAGTCCCGAGTGTGAGGTTATGTTACCACTTTGAGCAGATTGGCCATGTGAAGGCCAACTGCCCGTTGCTCGTCACTAAGCCGGCGCAGGCCCCCGCACCAGCTACACTGAGGATCACTGACGAGGATCAGGGTCGAGCAGCGCCCCCGAGGGCCCAGGGACGCGCCTTCCAGCTTACAGCCGAGGAGGCCAGAGCAGCACCGGATGTGGTTGCTGGTATGTTTCTATCCCTTATCTTACTGATTATATCTGTTTATTGCTTATATTTTTGTACCTGTGATTAGGTACGTTTTTAGTAAAATCCTTACCTGCTTTGGTATTATTTGACTCGGGGGCGAGTCGGTCGTTTGTTTCTCAGACTTTCAGTAGGGAGTTCAGGTTGCCAGTGGGAGAGTTAGATTGTCCGTTGCGAGTCTCCATCGCCAACGAACACATGGTTTCCGCTTCTTCGGTCTATCGGGGTTGCGTATTGGAGATTTTCAGAGTATCTTTTCTGATAGACCTGATTCTGATTCCCATGGG